GATGGTTTGGAGCATGCCTTTCACATCCTGAATCTTCGCTCCTGCTGTGTGTGTGCACATGTGTGCAGGTGTGTTGGCGTGTGTGTGGGTGCACATGAACTCACGTGTGCGAGCCGTCCACATCCTGGTTCTGCACTCCTCGGCTTCCCCCCAGGCACTGCCACCCCTGCTCTGCCCTGCCGGGCCCTGCCTGGGCATGGCTCCCTGCTCCTCTCCCGTGGTTGCACTCCCGCACCCCAGGAGTGACAGGGCACGGCACTGGGATGGGGAGGGCTGGGTCCACCGGCACCGGCTGCTTGGTGTGCACTGGGCTGTGCATGTTTTCACACATGTCCGTGCGTGTCTGTCTCGTGTTGGAGTCTGGAAGCAAAGAGCCTCCACTCACCCTGGGGCGCTCCAGCTGCTCTGCCCCTGCCCCAGCTCATTGTGCCCCCCAACCGGGTCAGTCTTGCTGGCATGTGGCTGTGGGGCCGGGCTGGTCCCAGAACCGCTCTGCTTGGAGCTCAATACTGTGAGATGGGTAAAACCGGTCCTGGCCCATCTGCACTGGGCAGAGCTGAGCCGTGCCAGGTGGCCCATCCAGCGTGCAGGACCTGCCTGGTGCCCAGCCCCTCGCCACATAGCCCACCGGACCCCTCCGGTGTCCCTGTGCCCCCCCCTCCCCCCCCGCCATGCTGCGCTTTGTGTTCTAGCACCGGGGCGGCCGGGCTGTGGGGGGCAGGTGGGGCACACGGGCATCCCTGACTGCTCCCAGCCTAGGTCCTGGGGAGGTGGGCTTGCCGGCTGGCCGTGCCCGGGGCAGGGGGCTGGTGGCTGGTGCTGCAGCCTGGCATGGGCAGAGGGGTGGTGGGTGCAGTTGGCCGTGGGCCCAGCCGGCGTGGGGCTGGTGCCACCCCTGTGCCCGGCTGCCAGGCCCGTGCGCTGCCAGGCCCAAGGCCGGTGCAGCCAGCACGGCACTGGGAGGGCACTAGGACCGAGCTCGCAGCCGAGGGAGGGGAACTGCTCGCTCGGATCCAGCCACTGCCTTGGCAGCCACTTGTGGAGACGGGAGCTGGAGCCGGCGAGGCATGAGCCAGAGGTTCACCGTCACCGCGCTGTCCCGGGAGGGTGCGGCCCCGGGCAGGCCAGGCGCTGCAGCCCCCCACGCACCCCCTGACCCGCTGCAGAGCGCCCGCACCCGTGGCCTCCCCGGAGAAGACGGCAGAGGTAAGTGATGCTCCGCAGGGCAGGGCGCGATGCCCATGGGCGAGGCCGCCGGGGCAGGAGCTGTGTTCATCCTCCCGAGCTGTGGTCTGGGCTGGGCACCCGGTGCGGAGGCCCTGGGAAGCGGTGCCCAGCAGCATCCATGTCCTAGCAGAGCTGGCTGCCGTGGCCCCCGTGCCCACCATGGTGCCGGCAGGCTCTGATGCAGCCGTGCAGGGTTGCAGCAAAAAGTTGCTTCTCAGAGTGGGAGTGGAGAAGTGTCCTGCAGCCCGGGGCGGTGGGCTGGTGCGTGCAGCGCGGCGGGGGCCTGGGGCCGTGTTCGGGCATCGCAGGGTCTCTGCTGCAGACAGGGTCCACGTCCGGCTGGGAGATGTCTGGTTGCTCCAGGAAACCTCCCAGCTGCAGCCCGTCTCCTCGGTGCCAGGCCGGGCTGGCTGGTCCTGGCGCTGTGCTCAGCTGGGCCCCGGTGGGCTGGGGACAGGCAGCGCCGGCCCCATGCTGGAGTGGGGGTCCTGGCGGCCCTGCACCAGGGGTGACTCCTGGCCAAAGGGGTGAGGGGCTGCAAGAGTGAACTGGAGCCGGACTGGAGCCGCCGGGCCCTCGGCCCACACCGCCGCCCGGGCTGGGGCTGCAGTGCCGCAGGTCTGGCGGTGTGGGGGGTCAGCGCCACGCGGGGTCCAGAGGTCACGGCCACTTGCATCTGCGTGGGGCTTCACCACGGGTCCTGCTTGGGGGAGCCCATGTGCTGCCCAGGCCGTGGTGCCCTGTGCGGGGGTGCCTGGGCATGAGGTCTGGGCTCGGCGCAGCAAGGATGGCGCAGGCCGCGGCGGCTGTCCCGCGGGCCTGGCTGTGGGTGCCGGGAGCGCTGGATGCCAGCCCAGACCCCTGCCCCAGGCATGCCGCGGCCATGACAAGCCGGGGCGAGTCCTCGTTGCTGCCCCAGCCCGGAAGGGCTGCGAGGGTAAGGACCAGCCCTGGGCGTCGAAGCTGGCAGGGCCCAGCCGCCTGCCCCGTGCCAGCTCCCCAGGGGCGAGCCCCGCCTACGGCTCCTCTGGCTGGGGGGGTCCAGGAGCTGAGCCGTGGGCCTGGGGCTCTGCGCCCCCCTGCAGCCAGTGGCGCTGGCCCAGCTCGGAGCCGGCCTCTGCGCTGCGCCTGGCGCGGGCGGCGCTTCCGGCCGGTCCCTGGAGCTGCATCGATCGATCGCAGAAACCCAAGCTCTGCCGGCAGGATGCTCCCCCCGCCCTGCCCCGCGCCGCGCCTGCCTGTCCACGCCGCGACCTTGTGCCCTCTGCAGAGGGCGGCTGGGGGAGGGAATCGGGGCAGGGAGCAGCTGGACCCGGGCTCGGGGGTCTGGGCCACGCTGTGCTCCTTGTCAGAGCCCCAGGCCGCGCCGCGCCGCGTGGGGCTTGGGGGCGCGGATGGAGCCGTGTTGTGCTGTGCTATGGGGCGCTCAGGCCCCGCAGGGCCGTGGAGGGCTCTGGGCTCAGCACGGGGCTCTGGGCTGGGGGGTCTCTGGGCTGGCTGAGGCACCCCACCCCACGCCCCGGCTCTGAGCCACCCAGACCCCTTTGACACCAGAGCCCTTGCAGGGAGGCCAGGTCCGGGGGCCAGCATGGCCATGGCTGCAGGGTGCTGCGGAGGGGCCCGAGGCTGCGCGCTCCCCCAGGCCAAGCTGGGCCAGCGCTGCACAGGGCCCCGGGGAGCGGCTGGTGCCAGGAGCGAGGGGGTGGCTGTGGCAGCCCAGCAGAAGCCGAACTTCAGCACCTGCCCTGCCCGGCCCTGCCCTGCCCTGCCCTGCGCACGTCTGGGCGCTGGGACGCCCGCTCCGCCTGCAGCACTGGCTGCGACGGCTCGATGACAGCACTGGAGCCCGGTGCCCGGGGTTGGCTGGAGCCCCAGGTCACCCTGGCTCGTGGGCAGTAGCACCCCTATCACGCCCCAGCCACAACCACAGCAGCCCTTTCCTCCCCATGCTCAGCTGGGCCCAGTGGGTAGAGGTGGAGGAACTGGCTGTGGCGGTGTCTCTTCCCGCCCCGGAGGCTAGGGGCTGGATCGTGCCCTCCTATAACAAACAGGGCTGTCCTGTCCAATGCCACAGGGCTGCATGGCCAGGAGTTTGGCTGGACCCGACCCTGTCGTCCTGCACTGGGTGCTTGGGGTGGGGGTAGCTGGACCCGGTCATCCAGGGCTGGGTGCGGTGGAGGTTGGCTAGGCCCTGTCATGCCCCACTGGGTGCTCAGGGGGTGGCTGGACCCTGTCATCCAGGGCTGGGTGCTTGGGGACTGGCTGGGCCCTGTTGTCCTGGACAAGCCAGCTGGGCTGGGCTGTGCCTGAGAGCTGCCCTGCGATCTCACCCTTTTGTGCCCTGGCCCCTGTCGTCCGTGGGGCCTGAGCGCACCCATGGCTCTGCAGGGCTTGGGCTCAGGCCCTGCCCTGCTCCAGGATTGCGGCTCCGCACGGGCACCCCAGGTCCACGGTCAGACCTGCCCGTCCCTGCCCTGTTTGTTGGCTGTGATTTGGGGGGGGGACGTTTTCGCGGGGCTGTGGTGGGTGGCTCTGGGGCAACATGGGCTGCTGCGGCCCAGGCCTCAGGGAGCCCCTCTTGGGGCCTGGCAGTCACCTTTCAGGCTCTGCCACCCTGGGGGCCTTGGCATGAGCCTTGGCAGGCTGGATCTAGGGGTTTGCTGAGCTGTGGGGGCAGGCGGCAGGGTCTACCCTGGGTGTCTGCCTACCGGCTGGGGCGGGGGTGCATGAGACAGGTCAGGATCCCCGAGCAGCCTGGGGCCTGGCCCTGCAAGCGGGCACCTTGTCCCCAACCCAGCTCAGCTGCTGGCACCTGCCTGAGGGCCAAGGCTGGGCAGGGCACGCCCTCTGCTGGCTGCTGCAGGCTGTGCAGGCATGGGCTGCGCCTGGCTGCACGGGTGCTGCCCGCAGCCCTGCGCCGCCCTGCCCTGCCCTGCCCTGCGGGGTCCCAGCCCTGGGGCTGCCCCCGCCTTCCTGCCCCTGCGGCGGGACAGGTGGGCTGCGCCTGGGGCGAGGGCCTGTGCCCCGGGGCCCATGTGTGGCTCTGCAGGGCTAAGGCTGTGCTGTGGCAGGGGCACTGCATGGGCCAGGCCAGGGGAGGGGACAGGAGCCAGCATTACTCCTATGGCTGCGGTGGGCAGAGGAGGGTGTGTGTAGCTGTATGCGCCACCTGCCACGGTCCCGTCGTGCCAGCCTTGCCCCCAGAGCCGGGTTCTCCAGGGCTCCTGCTGCCCCGGCCCCAGGGCCCAGCGCAGCAAGGCAGTGGGAATAAGGGGCGGAGGGCTGAGATCAGGCAGGGTTTGATCCTGCTGACACGGCACGGAGGAGGCGAGGCCTGCCTAAGTCTGCATAGTGCTCGGGCCCAGGGTCACAGGGCTCAGGCTCAGGCCCCGTGTCTTGGCTGGGGGATGCATGCCTGTGCTGCCTGCAGCTGGAGGCTGCAAGGGAGCGGAGTGTCCTGCCTCCGGGGGCTGGGCCCATCCGACAGGTGCAAGCGCTCATGAGCCTTGTAGTGAGACCTTGATGGAGCTGGCAGGGGTGTGAGCCCATGTTGTGGGGGTTTCAGTGCCGTCGTGGGGGCGAGCTGGGCCAGGGTTGTCCTGCCACGTCCCTGGGGCTGTGTGTGACGGTGGGCCAGGCTGGAGCACCACAAGCCAGACCAGGGTCCAGCCTGCAGGAGCCCCAAGGGGGAGTGGGGCTTGGACCCCAGCTTTGGCTGTGGTGACTCAGCCCCAGGCTTCCCACTCATGGGCACGTGGCAGCTCTCCCTGCTGCAGCCAGTGCAGGGGGTCTCACTGCGTGGACCCTGCCTGGAGCATCGGGCTCAGAGGGTGGTAATCAATGGCTCGAGGTCTAGCTGGCAGCCGGTATCAAGTGGAGTGCCCCAGCAGTTGGTCCTGGGGCCGGTTTTGTTCATTATTTTCATCAACAAGCTGGATGATGGCACAGGGCGCACCCTCAGCAAGTCTGCAGATGACACCGAGCTGGGAGGGCAGTAGATACGCTGGAGGGCAGGGCAGGGATTCAAAGGGACCTGGGCAAATTGGAGGATTGGGCCCAAAGGGATCGCATGAGGTTCAGCAAGGACAAGTGCAAAGTCCTGCACTTAGGAGGGAGCAATCCCCTGCACCGGGGCAGGCTGTGGGGGACTGGCTGGGCAGCAGCTCTGCAGAAAAGGACCTGGGGGGGGCAGAGGACAAGAAGATGAACGGGAGCCAACAGTGCGCCCTTGTTGCCAAGAAGGCGACCGGCATCCTGGGCTGCACTGGGAAGAGCGTCGCCAGCAGATCGAGGGCAGCGATTCTTCCCTCTGTTCAGCACTGATGAAGCCACATCTGGATCCTGTGTCCAGTTTTGGCCTCCCCACTACAGAAAGGATGTGGACACGTTGGAGAGAGT